TTTACTATAATGAAATTGTCAATTACTATTAGAAAGTTGTTAGTGGAATTATTTAGATTCCTTGTGTGACACCTGAGAGTGATTTCCCTTGTTTCATTTCAGAGTATGATATACAATAAAATAATAAGATAAAATATTTCGATACCCCCTTAGGGCCTTTACTGAGCCAAAATGACTTGCGGGGTTAGTAAACAATAAACATTCCGTTATATTTAATGTGTCAAATAGTTATTGTATTGACTGTTGGCCTACCTTCCTCCTAATTGCAGAAATTGCTTGTTTAAAAAGTGAGGGAAATCTCTCACCCACCATCTGTCCAAAGATTGGTAACTGTCGCTGCAGCCGTTTTCTTCATTCGTTAACAAAAACCTCCCCCACCCAAATTCCCTCCCTCCCTCTGTGCTTATCTTAATCTCTGCCTGGGTTCTGTATTGTAACGAATTAAACGGGCAGAAGAAGTCAAGAGCACCTGACCTGAAACAGAAAGGCAAGGCATTTAGCAGATCTGTACTCTGCTATTATGGGGTCATAAAAAATCTGACAAATTCTAAAACTAGGTATAACTAAATTTTTCCTAATACATCCGTTGATGTAATGATACCAAGACTAGAATGTACAATACGTGGTAGCATATCACCATCCTTAGAGACAGATATGAAAGTCTCAACCTTCATGCACAGAGTGCTACCTTGACTGTTCACCTGATTTACCTACTTTTCTTATAGCTATTGGCAATTTTACTGTTGCCTAGAATTAGTTTTGGTAGTACCAGAAGTTCAATTCTCTTGTACTTGCATATGTTTGCAATGCAAAACTAAATATAGGAGTTTTTGTTGTGTTAGTCTCTCCTAACCAGGAACATAACTCGTCAACAAACATAACAACCAAATGTGCAGACTCTCCTTCCAACCAATTAACAAGCGGAAAAGCTTGGTCAATGGAGACTGCTTTGCTTAAACGAGGAAGCTTCAACAGAAATGTTATTGCCAATCTATCAGCCAATTACTCTGTGTTCTACCCATTATATTTCTCATCCAATTTTTCTGACTCATCCAGATTAGGTTGATCGTTGGACTACGTTGTTCTTGTTGGATATAAAAGTCTGACAGACTCACAACTCAAATTAAGCTTGTAAATGACATGACTAGCAAGAAGAGAATCCTGCTTAAGAAATTTTAATTAAAAAATATTGGAAGCATTAAAAAGGAAATATTCTAATTAGTCTTAATTAAATCAAGGCTGTTGGTTTTTTAGAGTCTTCTATATTTTGTGTTTCAACAATATACGACTCCCCCCCCCCCCAAAGAAAAAAAAAAAAAAAGATTCCTCTGTTTGGTTCATGCGTTCTGATTTGATGCAGTCACCTATATTAAGAAAAATTGTTTCCGTTTTTGGAAGTTATATTCACCTCTCAACTGTAAAAACTGCCGAAAACCAACTTTGAAATATTCCGAGAGACTGCTTTTTGAGCATGACCTCCCGCCAAGAAGAGTACATCCCCCTACCATTCCCTAGGTTACTAATAAGCCCTCACTTCCTACTTTTAATATCTCTGCCAATTAGCATTACAATTACTACTATTAGTATTATTATTTTTTGATCCAGCAATGTCAAGGCTACCTCTTTACGCACCATCTTATTCTTGAATAATTTAGAATTAAATCCCAGCTTATTAGATTATTCAGACTTGGTTGCAAATGCCATCAATCAAAAATTAAATCCACTGCTTGGAGTGCAACTCACTTTTTAAACTTTATGGGTATTAGGTATAGGACAAAATGTAAAGGTCATTGTTAAGCAGGGTTGCATTCAGTAGGTCTAATACTGACCCTGATGGAATATAGCACCTTTAAAATTATTCTTAGAAACTACATGTCGATTATTTTGGCTGCAAAAGTATGCGTGTTGTTGTCTCTTTTGCACTGATGCCTATGATTATTTTAGTCTTTGGCATTTAATCAAAAAGATAAGATACAGTAACATCACAATTTTATAATTGGTATTATCTATCAAAAAGTGGTGTGAAGATGATACCTGAATTGGGCGAGCATCTGCAGCCATCAGCAAAATATCCTTACATAGATATGCGGCACTTCCTCGATTGTATACAACGTGTAGTTGAAGAAAACTTTTCCTTTGTACAAGTAGTGAAACCTATCAATAGCACGTAGAACATAAACTCCATTAAGACCATATCTTTCGGCTTAAGTGTTCAGTGATGCAATGATCTCATAGGTCTCGGATGATAGCAACATTTTGTCACATATAAAATGGACAGTGGAAAAGCTAGCTCATTTCTTTGTAACAACCCCATTCAGAGAATCGTACGGAGAGATTCTACAATCTTCAGCATCACTTATTGACTACATCAACATAATAGAGATACAGCCCACTAAATTCTTCCACTTTCACTAGCCAATAATGAATTTCCAAGTTACGAATTTGAGCCGAATTATATGCCACGTGTATCCCACAAAACAAGAAATCATTAAATCTTAACGTGCAACTGAAGGAATATCGCGGAGTCGACTATTTCCTGGAGGGTAGACAATTCTGTTTCGTGAATCAGTCAAATTTCAATTATACTAAATACAAAAGAGAGGACATGCAATGAAATGAGAAGCACTTTTTGCAGAACAACTTCCAAATTCCTATTATAATCAGGCCCCGGCAAAGCTCAAATTCATTACATGAACCTTTCACTTCAACCCGATAATGCAACTTTATGACCTTACTTGGTATCAGCAACTACATGAATTTTTCTGTTTACCCATTAAAAATATTAAACTTTTGCTTTGTTATCGTAAAATGATGAAAAAGATCCTTTACAGTACAAACCATGGCAACCCAACCCAGAACTAATACTTTATTTTTTATTTTGTGGCTATAAAAATATTAAGCAGCAGAAATTTTGAAAGTATAATCAGCCAATGACAAGATATTGAAATAGCAGAAGTTTACCATAATGGAATAATTGAGTTAGTAACTTTTATTTGTGGAAAATTATATCACTATGATTTGGTTCTGTTTGCAAATTAGTTGTAAAATGCTGACAAACCACATGTGCTAACCAAAAGAGATATAAAAATGACTAGTGGAATATAAGGCAAAAGAAGATCAATTGTAAGAAATCCTGATAGGCAAACATGTTGCAGCCTTGCAAGCGAGCTTGGCCACACAATTGATACAATGTAATGTAGATAAAAGGAAACGTTAAAAGGAAAATAATATTCTGACAATTTAAATTATAGGACCAAATTTTTTTACCCCAAAAAATAAAAATTATAGGACCAAATCTAAGCACGATTTGAACTCTCTGCTCTTTTATTATTTTCTTTAAAAAACGATTATTTCAGATACTTCCAAACAAATATACAATAGGATTGGATGAAATGGTCTCAACTGAAGCAGTGAGCTCTTCCAAATAAAAATTACCTATCCTCCAACCGCAACATTACTCCCATGACCCATCTTCTTCCTGTCTGCCCAACTTGAGATTGAATAGATTTTTTGCCAACTCACAATAACATGTAATTTCATATATAGCTTCTGCAAGAACATATGCACCCCCATTGAATTTACGTATTAGAGACAGTTCTCAAATTATAAATATCTGACCAACAGATTAGAAGCTTAAAACCAGATGATGCATCATTAGCACCTCAGCTACCAAAGCTGTTTGTGCTTGTTTCGTGAATAGGTAAGAATGCTACTGTGCCTGAAAAAATAGAAAAGAAATCAAAAATGGGCCAGACGAGAAGTCCTTAAGCTTAAACATCAGAAAAAGAAATAATACTAGACACGCACAATTCAGATAAAAAGATTATAAGCCTTCCGGCTTTTAAAACAAAAACTACAGAGTACAGGAGAATTCTCTTGGGCCCACCGACTTCCTCATAATCTGGTTGCACAGGAAATTTTGAATATTTACTGTGATTTCTCTCATGAGATTTATGCCTTCAACAGTTTAGCCTACTTTTCTTAAGAAAAAACTGACATGCAAAGTAAACAGCCCCACAAACTACTCATTTGACATTATTAAATTAGCTCCAATCTTTTGTTGACTTCTTCCCTTTCAATATCCTCCGGATTATGATTCACTTCTTATGCATTATCCGCACATTAAAATCAAGTCATAGGGTCCAAAATTGTGTTGAGTTCAATCATTTTCATAGATTCGAAATTTCCCCACATTCTTCACTCCCCAAAAGAAAATCATGTAACGGAAAAGTCAATGACTAAAACCTACTTGTGGACCTACTTCTTGATTGTGTCAAATTTAATTGAGATTATTATAATACATTGGTCATGCGTACAGCCTAACCGGTGCTCCCGCAAGGGGGATTGTAGTAGGTTTCAATGCTGAGGAGAATCAGAGAATGACGACAAGATCGGTCGGGATGAAGCTGATCAAGAAGGAGACTGATAGATTCGTGTTCCAAGACCAGAATCGATCAAAATCATCTCAAGAAGAGCGTCCATTATGAAAGTCTAACCTCTGGTCCTCGAAATCTTCTTGTCGTCGAATAAGTCATAACTCATAACCGGCTGGAGACGGCGGCTGGCGCTTGCTACCGGGGTTTTAGGAGGGGAAGTGAATCCTTTTTTTTTTTTTTTAAATTTTATTCTTTGGGTATTCGTTCAGTTGGCGGTACAAGATGCCAATAAAATGCTTTATAATATAGAATTATATTTATAATCAATATATTTATACATAATTATAAATATAATTAAGTAGATTTTACATGAAGGGATAGTAAAAATTAATGAGAGTAAAATATTAAGTAAATATTAATTTAATAATTTAATAAAAATTATTTAAAATATTTATAATAGGATTACATGACCTATTATAAATAGATAATTATAATAATAAAAATATATCTGGCAAAAAAATAAAAATAAAAATAATTATTTTAAAAAAATAGAGTAAATTAGCTAAATGGCCTCAAAAAATACAGTTCCTATAAATTATAGATAAAATTTTTTAATATTTTAAAATATGATCCATTCATAAAATCAATTAGATGTTATTTTTTTTTATCCTCATAATGAATATATTATTAAAACACAATATATCTCTTGTGACTAATTTTTAACATATTGAATTGTACATTCACAATCATTTTCTCATCATAGAGGAAAGAAGTCTCATATGTTAATACTTTTCTTCTCTCTCTTTTGTTTTTCGTTGGTATATTATGAAACTGAGATTTGATATTGAAAACTAAACTCCATCATCAAATTGACATTCTATGTTGCGTAGTTCAAGATCTGAATTAAAGTTGTTCTATCTTTCATTTTTTTGAAAGTTGAAGAGTATTATCTATCATCAAATTTTTATCATCTTCATTAATATGGATAATATCTTCACTAAATTAATAAATCATTTATTCATAATTTATTATTTGTTATCATTGATCATGAAATTTGTTTGAGTTACTAATAGAAATACATTATTCTTTCATTGTTTATGATTTTTTATTTTATTATTTTAAGTATTTGATTTTTGTGATAATCTAAGATGTCTAAAATTTGTTATGAACTTAGTTTGATCTATTTTGGGTAAATGATTATGTTATTTTCATGTTTCTAATTTATGATAGTATATCAGCAATATACAATAATACATCACTGATATACTTTTGCAAATCAACATTACCAAACAATCAGACATAAATTTATTTATTATTGACACACAATTGTATAACAATGATGTAGTATCATATATTAGTAACATGAAAAAACACATAATCATTTGTCCAAAACGGATCAAACACAGTCTGCAAAAAATTCTGTAGCTCTATTTCCTTGTCAGTGTGCTTCATTCGGTTGAGTACCGTCGAATGTCTCTCACCTTGCATTTGTCTCTCACTACTATGATTGTGGCTTGCTCACTTTGCTCTGCTTTCCATCTTCAAGTTTGATCTACTTGTTTCTTCCATCATGACTACAGCTCATGTTTATCTCTCCCGTTTGCTTAATTTCTCACATTTTAAGTATTTGCAAAAAGTAAAGTGTTACAATTTTAAAAGGGTAGTTTTATAAATTATATATCAACTAAATTTTAAAAAGGCCATTTTTAAAATTTAAGAAAGGATAAGATATTTCTTTTATTTAATTTTATGATATGGACTATATATACAAAAGCCCCAAAAAAATATAACTACTTTTATTTTTGGGTTAATGAGCATCCTAAATCTTAAACAAGTGAATAGCATCTTGAACCTTGAATTTATAAAATATTCAAAAATTCTTTTTGATTTCTAAATTTGAATGCATGAAACCCCACCATTAAGTTGAAGAAAACGGTCTTTATTTTCAAGGGTTAAGGCTATATCAATGTTTGACTAAGCCCCAAACTACAAAAGTAATGGCTACTTTTTTCAATTTAAAGATAAGGTTTTAAGTGCTCAGAATTTAAAAATTAAAGAGAATTTTTGTACATTTTAAAAATTTAAGGTCCAAAATGCTATTCGCGCAATAGTTTATAATATAGAATGCTCATGACATTAACCCTTTATTTTTTATTTCTCTTGTAATGTACATAGATGTTTTTAAGATTTAGAAATAAATTTTATAATTTATTAATTTAAAATAAATTTTCTTAACTTAATATTAATTAAGTCCCCTAAATTATATATATATATATATATATATATGTATGTATGTATATGAATATAATGAAAAAAAAATTTATTTCTTAACCATGTAAAAAGCTAAAATACAATTTTAAGAAATCATTATTTTCTATAATTTTTATATCTTTTTTTGTAATTTTTTAATTACCTAACAATTAAATTTAACTTTTTTAACTGCAAAATATCCAGTGCACCATTTTTAAATGTTGAAAAAAAATTTCATTTCATTTGTTTTTATGATACTAGACACATCTAAGTAAATAGTTCACGAGTCAAAATACCATTTAATCTTTTATTTTTTTCAAAGGAAATCAAACTTAATTGAACTTCATATCTAGTTCAATTTGGTTGGTTTGATTGATGTAGATTTATTTTTTTTAAGATTTAACTAATTCAATAGTTATTTCGCAAAAAAAAAAAGGTAAAAAGATTTATTCCCTTTTTATATGTCCAACAACAAAGAAATGTTATGAAAACGTTTATTAAAGTTATGTCATGAAGTTTTATCCAAAAAAAAAAAAGTTATGTTATGAAAATGTGAGCATACATATTCAAAGAATGGCCCACCGTCCACTATTTAAATTAATTCATTTTTAAGCTGAGTTAAATAAAACTTCAGTTTTCCGTTTCTCACTTTATTTCTAATAAATTTCTATCTTTGTTTTTGGGATTTAGGTTGACTTGTTTTTTTATCTATTTCTTGTTTATTGTCACTTGAAAATGTTTTCATTTAAAACTCCACCCACCCCTACATCAAAATAACAAAATCACTTTTCTCTCTGAGCTGGTTTTTCTCAGGATAACCAGAGAAAAATCAGAAAAAAGAAAATCTAATCATGTGAATTATGTACAAGGAGTTGGAAAACCGAAGGTGTGGCCATTAATGAAACGCAATGCATAGGATCTAAGTAGGTAATTTGAAAGGAATTAACATTTGAGGAGTCATTATTTATATCACATTAACTTTCGAGGAGTCATTATTTATATTATTGGTCATTAAAATCTTTAAAAAATTGAAATTCTTCCACGAATCACGGAAATACATTATGAATGCTTCTAACTTAATAACTCGTGTTCCACAAAATTATAACATGGTCTTCTAGATGCTACAAGGGCCCTTTCATTGAGGAAACAACAAATTTAAAACATCATCATAATATCAATTAGTAACTTAGAGTACACATTGTAAAAAGATAAAAAGAAAACAATATTAGCAACTTATTTTTTATGATTCAAAGTATGAACACTTGCAATATATTTAATCATTGAAAAATACTTAAAAGCAGCATTTAAACTGTGTTCAGACTTCAAAGAAACAATCAATTGTTGCATTACTCGCTTGTGAAGGTGAAAATGTAGCAGAAACAGAATGCCATGGCCAGGAAATCTGGTGGAGAAGATTATTGTAGGAACTACAAGTGAAAGAGATTGTCTGTGGACAACAAATTAGCCAATCTAGTAGTCATTAAGCCAAGAATGAAATCCATTATGAAAAGTCTAAGCATATTGATGAGCAATTCTGTTTTTTCAGAAAGCATACAAATTCCAATGAAGTTGAATTAGTGCATGTGAAATTCAAGGACCAAGTAATACATATTTCTAAAAAACCACTTAAGATGAGGTTTTGAAGAGATCATACAAAAATTTTACTTTCAAATCAAAGAGCGCATGAAGTGCAAAAGGTGACATAAATGCTAGCGAAAAATGTTGAAGGCTAAGTTCTTGTAAGGATTATAAATCCTTTTGTGCACCAAAACCCTAAGATTGTAAATAAAGGAATGCAACAATCTGATAAGTGTGTTTGTGTGGGAAGTATTCAACATGATAAGTATGGATACAGGGTATTTACAGAGCTATAAGGAAAGAAGGAACAGGCCTACATTAATCCATAACCAATCGAATTACAACAAGATGTTAAAATAACTACAACAAATACTTGACTAAAACAGAACTTCTTCAACAGAAATCACAAGAAGGAATAATCCAATAACTTTTCTCAAAACTTTAGGCAAATATCAACATTAGTACAAGCATATTATCGATCAAAATAGAGCCTTTGAACTTGTTTTACCATTGAAGAAGACCTCTATCTATCATTTCATAGAGAAGCATTGTTGCCCTATCATTCCCATTTTATCCTCAAAAGAGCTTGTATAAGCATTCCAAACGTCACAAAATTTGGAAGGCAACCACTCTCTATCATCTTTGAAAGCAAGGTCAATGATTCCTCAAACAAGCCTTCTTTCCAAAGTCCACTCATCATGATGCTGTAAGTGTAGACATTTAGATGATCGCCTTTGGTCAAAAAGAATTCAAAAATATCCTGTGCAAAATCTAGCCTACCTCCTCTGTACAAACCATCAATCAGTATCTTATAATGTAGGTTGTATTCATCAGTTGACAATTTGCTGATATAATGCAACTGCCTCATCAAGATGCTTCATTTTGCCAAATGCATCCAACAAAATGTTGTAGGCTATTATATTAGAAGCTTGACCATTGCAACACATCTCATAAACAATATCTTGCATATGTGACATTCTCTTTGGTTTGCACAAGCCATCAATGAGAGCAATATAAGTGATAGTATTAGGAACCAAATTTTTGCAGCCCATTTCTTTAAAAAGATCCAAGGCTTCATCCAACAATTTTATTTTACAATATGCATTAATCAATATATTGTAACTCACAACAATAGGTGCCAAGCCCATGTTCATCATCTTTTTCAATACTACTCTTGACTCTTTAACATTTTTCCCCATAAAGTTCCTATTCATCAAAGAATTCAAGGTAACAGCATCAGATTTCATAAAGCATTTGAACATCTTCGCAAAGATAGATTGAGCTTCTATGATCCTTCTCTCTTGAGAAATGCATCCACTAGTATATTAAAGGCATAAAGATCAAGAGTGATTGTCTCTTAAGGCTATTTCATTTGGAAATCTTGCATTTGGTTGATGTAGAGAACACCATGGATTAGAATGTTGTAAGTGACAATATCAAGAGATATTCCTTGCCTAATCATTTTAGAACATAATTCAGATACCTCATTTACAAGCCCTTCCTTACAAAAGACATCCATGGCTGTGTTATATATAATTAAATTAGGATTAGTTTTAATTATCCGCCTCCCCATCGTTTGGAGCAATTTAACAGTTTTTTCAATTTTACAGAGCCCATTACTAATTAAGGTACCATAAGTAACTGAATCTAAGCAAAATCCTTTTCTCAACAAGCAGAGTCCTTTCATCAACGTAGTCATTGTTACAGTATTCGGTTGGCAACCCCACTTGAAATCTTACCCAATGAAGAGAAAGCAGAAGCCATGTCACCCACATTACAATAACAATTGATCAAAATGGACAGAGTAATTAAACATGGTTGAAATCCTTTCAGTTCCGCCTGGGCAGAAAGTGAGATAACTACTTGGTCGTGTCTGGAATTTGCAAGTGATCCTAAAATCTTGTTAATTTCAACAATGGAGGGCAGGGTACACATGGAGAGCAAGCGATTGAACGAAGCCACGGAGTATCGGACGCTATTAGGGTTTGGAAAATGGGAACGAACACAATTGCAGAATCAGGGCGTAGGGGAGTGAAAGAAGGGTCTTAGATCGAGAGGACTGCAGAAAGAGAGGAGATTCGGGGAAGGCATACCTTGAAGTAGCAGAAGAGAACAACGTCTCCATATGAGATAGGTAGAAGAGTGTCGGATACATCCACGCGGCTTCATCGAAAGGGGAAAAGCGAGAAGGAATGGAAAACCTAGCCGCAAAGATGAGACTATTTCGTTTTGGCCAAAGAGCACTGAGACTTGGAAAGATGAGAAGAAAGCCAAGATTAAATGATTAATTGACTGGCCAGACACGATGTGATTTTTTTGTCGGGAGAAATAGGTAACATATTTAATAAATCACTTTGAACTTCTTTTGTCACGGTAAATTATGTTTAATTTAATTTAATTTTTTTGTTTTTACTGTTTTGTTCTTAAAAACTATTTTACAATATAATTTTTAAACTTATTTTTCAATAAAAATAAAAAATTATTTGATTATATTAATTTAAAAATTAGTTTTATAGTTAAAAATTGGCCAATAGTAACAGTTGCTTTTTGTTGATTGTGATAGTTTATAATAATAATTGGTGTAAGTGACTATAATTTTTAATAATCAAATGTGATGTATTTTAAAAAAAATAATATGAAAACAACTTAAAATATTTTTAAAAATAAAAAATAAGAATAATTTTAAAAATAATTAAACTCAAATCAGTAATTTAAATGAGTTTTTTAATTTTTTTTTGTTTTTAAGAATAAAACCCAAACAAGTCCTTAATATCTTACATCTACATCTATCTATTTATTTACAATGTATATCTACAATCTAATATGATTGTGATTATGGGTATTATACACCTATGATACCTAGAAGATTTTTTTCCTTTTTTAAAGAAATATATGATAATTTTTTGAAATATAATATAATAAATATAAATAAAGTAAATAATAATCTTATAATGAAAAATGGGTGAAGGACCCACAATAAAAAAAATGAATGATGAATATGAAACTTATAATAAAAAATGAAAAAAAATAATCTTTTAGTCTTTATAATTTTAACTCGATTATAATTTAATCACTGAACTTTGACTAATTATAATTCAGTCCTCATAGTTTTAACTTGATTGTAACTTAATTTTTAAATTTTGACTCGATACAACTCAATTCCTATAATTTTAGTAATTTAAAATACCAATCTCCATATTTTAAAAAATATAATTATAAAACTAAAATTATTTAAAAATTATATTCTTTATAAAGATTAAAATTTTTAGTAATTCAAAATAATAATCCATAATTTCAAAATAATTTTATTTTTAAAAATATAAGGAATAATATTTTAAATAATTAAAACTAGAAGGATTGAATTGCAGCAAGTTAAAGTTTAAAAATTGAGTTATAATTCAATCAAAATTATAAAAATTAATTTATAATGAGTTGAAGTTTAGAAATTAAGTTATAATTAAGTCAAAAGTATAAGGACTAAAAGATTAATTTTTTATTAAAAAATATATGTGAAACATGTAATAAACTTACATGTTAAATTTTAAAAAAATGTAAAAGATGTGGGTATGAAGTTCAATGAATTTTTTTATTTTTAGAATTTTAATTTATACATGACAATAAATTCTAAAAAATAATTTGTGGCTTATATTTTTAACATGAGTAAAAGGTAATCATAGTGTAGTGAAACAATTTTTTGTTTTATTTTTAGCATGTAAAAGATAAACAAATTCTAAAAAATAAAAAGTTGCTATTAAAATAACTTTTAGTATACATGGGTAATAAATTTTAGAATAAGATTACCTACAATAAATTTTAGAATAAAATCTTTTGTTTAAATCTTTTAATAAAGGTCAAATGACAAATTCTAGCTTATTGAAGTTACAACTCATAAGTCAACAAAGGCAAGAAAGAGAGATATGCAAATAAAAAAAAACACTCTCTTTTTGGTGAAATTGTGAAAGTAAGAAACTTTCATAATGCATGAAAATCTTCAACCCTCCCAGCCTTAATCCTCATGTGACTGACTGATTTCTAGGACTTGTGAAGACATGCCACCAAAAATTGGCTTGGAGAAGTAGAGGACTTTGTAAAATGAAATAATTGCAACTCTTCTTCTCCAAAATACAATATTGCTACACAGAAATTAAGGTTCTTTCTTTTGGATTTTGAAATTTTGATAATCCAGTTAGAAGAATCATTTGTTGAGCCTGTATAAGCTGGTGAGTAGCAACCCATGATAACTTTTCTTGAAGAAAAAACTATCCAAATGGTTATTGTTTTTACATTTACACAAATATGAGGAAGTAGTCCAAGTACAAGTAGATTTGAGAAATTTGAAACGTTCTTGAAAGTCCCTAATTAATTGATGCGGGGTTAAAATTTTCCCCTTGTATAAGATTTGATTCCTTGTCATCCATATAAAGTGCAGAAGAGGCAAAATTTCCTCAATCATGAAAAGATCACTAACTATATATAATTTATCCAAAATTCTAAGAAGCCAATGAATCAAACATTAATCAAAAATTTCTTTTAAACAAACTCTCAAAAAGCCGAACCAAACAGCTTTAACAAAAAGACATTCACAAAAATGTACGAAGCAAGGAATCTTGTAAATCGCATCCAAAAGGACACATAATTGAGGTAGGAACATGATGAGCTAAAAGAATATATCTTGTGGGGATTACCTTATATGCTGATTTCCATATGAAAAGTATAACGAAGATGTAATTTTTAAAGAAACTCCCAAATGCTTTCCCTCGCAAGATGTGAATCCCCTGCATGCCTATTAAGAAATCTAATACGTTGCTAAATTCTGGAGAGGCAACTCTATTATCAAACGTTCCTAAATTATTATTGGTTACAATTGAAAAATCATTTTCATAGTTTCGTGATTAACCGATTGGTGCTGATTTTGGTGGACTAACGATACGATAATGCAGAAGTTTGCTTAAAATTATAGCTGCGATGTCCTCCCTTCGGAATGAATCGTCGGAATATAAAGGGAAAATCTTCAACGTTCGTTCAAGAGCCTGCAAAGTTCTTGTTTCAAAGAAACAATCATAAGATTTGGTGTTGCTCTAGGCATGTAAGAAACAGCAAGAACAAGAAATACGTAGTTTTGGGGTAGCTTCTCATCAAAAAGTGTGTGATGGCTTTATTTGTGACAGAATTCCATCTATCACGAAGAATCTAATGGATTTTTATTGCAAATTTGGTTTTTTTTTTTTGTTTTGGTTACAGTAGAAGTTGTGAATAGTGTAGCTTGCTTTCATGTCATATAGTAGATATAGGCATCTTCTACCAACTAGTTAATATATATTAAATCATAAAAGTCTGCACATCGAAAACTTGGAAGGTAGATCTATGTGAGATGAGCTAGCTCAATTATATTTGTTTTAAGACTTAACGAGTTAATCTTCAGTAAACATTATTCATTTGGACACGGATTGGTAATCCTGTGTGGCCAAAAATATTACTGTTTTCGTATCAAATTATAAAATATTTTTAAGAAAGATTTAATATATTAAAATATAAGAATATAGGACACTTTGAAAAAATTAATGTTTTATTAAATAGGTTTATTTTAATATTTTTTTCTCTATTTATAGTTAATTTCTCTCCCTTCTCTTTTTAATATATTAAATGATGAGTATTTTTAAAAGTTTATATTTTTATTTTGAAAATATAAAATTATTAAGTGTATTTAATGAAGTTTATTAGCATGTAAAAATTTTTTCTAAAAGTGTTTTATAATTTGGGATAGAGGGAGTAATACTTAATTATTGCTGAGAATTGAGATCTCTTTTTATTTTCTTAAAATTATAATTATAAATGCTAGAATTGCTTAATTCAGCATTCAGATTAAATTGATCAACATTTATTAATTAATCATACGAGTAATGTTTACACAATTTTACTCTCTTATAATATTGTTTTTTCCCTCTAAATGCATGCAAGCTTGTAATATGTTTTTTTTTACCCAAATAAGAGTTGTTGAAAAGTTGATGAGATTTTATCAAGGAGTTATCCATGAAAGATCAATTTTCGCTTCCATTTTGTTTATGAAGCCGAAAAAAGGGATCAATTATAACTCTTTTGAAGAAGGTCTCATTTAATTATATCTTAAAAATAATTAGTATTAAGATTGGAGGTGTGTAATGCTTTCAAGAGGAGAAGTTAATCTGCAATTTATGAATGAGATAACAAAAGAAAAAAAAAAAGCTACATATGACTCTACTGAGAAATTAGATTGTAGTAAGTAATAAAACAAAAATGATATTGCCAAAAAAATGATAAACAAAATTCATAAAATATTGAATTAATAAGAAAAGTTATATAAGCAAGTATGTTGAAAAGTTGCCGTTTGTCTACAGTGAAGAGCGTGGTGCTAAACGAGTCCCGTTTTGGTGTATTGATCAAAGTGACGAGCATTCGGACCATTCACATGAAAAATTTAAACGATTTCAATTTATAATTTTTATTTTTATTTTTTATTTATTATAAAAATTATAAAATTTCAATAAATCTACCTTATCATGAATATAAACAATATATATTTTGGATGATCTAATTTAATATTAATTTTTTAAAAAATTTTATAAGTTCGCTGTCTAAATATATTCTGGACAGACTGGATCCATCTAGTCAATTTATAAAAATTTTAAAAAAATTAATATTAAATTGAACCATTTAAATTAAATTTATACTATCTAAATTGATGGTAAGATAAATTTATTAAAATTTTATACTCCCTCCATCTCAAATTATAGGATACTTTTAAAATACATACAAGAAACTTTGAATAGATTAAAATTTTATTAAATGTACCAATTTCAAATTTTACTTTTTATCTATTTATAATTAATTTCCATCACTTCTTTTTTAAATATATTAAATGATGGATATTTTTAAAAGTTTATATTTTTATTTTGAAAAGATAAAGTTGTAAAGTATATTCAATAAAATTTATTGATATGTGAGATTTTATCTAAAAATTTCTTATAATTTAAGACGTAAGGAGTATTTTATTTTAAAAAATATAAAATATAAAGTGAAAAATTTGAATCATCCAAATTTGGTCCATTGTGCTCATCACCTGATGAGCACTGAAACCAATCAAGGCGCGAAACTGCCCTTGATGGTTGTTATGAAGTTGGATTCACAGTTTTCTTATTCCATGATCGATCTCTTTTTGTTACGTGAGTCATCAATCTTTAGTTGGTTAATTATAATTGGATTAATTATTCTTTATCTTTATGGCTTATCGCACTTTAACATTAATTTGACCAAGTCTCATTGGTTACCCTTAATCAACATCTAGCTTAGCTGGTGTATATCCTTGGTCATGGTTTTCTGCGTTAATGGCTTCAGTGTTACTCTCCCTCTCTAGTCTCCAATATAGGACATTATTAATAACTAATTTATGCTTTTTTTTTTGTGTAAAGTTATATTGAAACTTTAATCTTTTACAAAAATACATACATACATATGTCTAATTGTACTTTTATTAAATTCCTTATATAAGTATTTTAATAGTAACAATTAAAATTTCAATGGACCATTTTAAAATGAATAATAAATGAAGAGGTATGGGTATAATTAGAAAAAAAAGTTATAAGAACTCCTACTGGGCACAAAAAAGTGCTTTCACCTATTTTACTAGAATCAATGATTGACAATTAACTCATTAAATATGTCTTAAAATAAAAAAAGTCCAACTTTACCTTTGTTACAATTAAGAAGAGAGATACATAGTTTATGATGAGCCATAACATTAAGTTTATAATCAATTAATATATAACTACTCAAAGTAAAGTTTTTCCCAATTATCGTAAACCTTTTACCCCTCAATCAACTAGCTTTCAAGCTTGAATTTTCAATCCAATAGATAATCAAAAGCCAAAACTACAATCAACCAAGTTGAATTTCATCAACATAACCAACTCAAGCATTTGAACCCTTAATCTCTACTTCTAAATTGCCTAACATTCACTTTACATGAGTTGGAGCCTATCCATTGGGTTTAATAATTACCTTTAGCCCCCAATAACATTAATGAGCCACTAATGGCATCACAAACTTTCAAGCACCTATAATAAATGAGATTTTTGAATATTAATAGTGTCCAACAACCCAAGATACCAAAAACTCATTATACGTAGGCTTAGATACTTTAATCTACTCTCATTAACTCCATTTGAGTCAACAAATTCAGACCCATACCCCATATGGATTGAAATCACCATCCTCTTCTAAACCCTAACTCAAAAAATGAAAGAGGAAAGGAGGAAAAGGGATTAGAAATCTTATCTTAGATGATTTAGAACTTCATACCTCCTTAAATTCTCATCTAAGTTACGCCCTAGTAGAGCATTGGCGTGTCTCTCCGTTTTCTCTTTGCTTTCTCTCTATTTTTGTCTCATTTCACGTCTAATAAACTACAGAAAATGGCCATGCACCTCGGTGGATGCATAATGCGCTGTGGCGCATGACACAGAGAGGTCCTCCTTCGTTCAAAAACTTCTGTGCTCCACGGCGGATGATTTCCATGCCGCGGCGTGTTGCACAGCAATATCAACTTTTCCTTTTCTTCTCCTTTTGATGCTCGGGTGGTCTGCTTTGATAGTGAACCCACAACTAAGGCTGAAATTCTACCAAATATGATTATTAAACATCTCTAGCCGCACACCACTTCAACTTACTTAATTACTCTAATTACGTTTAACTAATCAGGGGATTAAAAGTTGGGATGTTACAATACACATATTCACAGCTAAAAAAATTATAAAATAAAACAATACATAACAGTTATTATATAAATTTTCAATTGCATAGAGTAAAAGATTTTTTTTAATAAAATATTTTTTTTAACCAAGGGGGATAGTTCCAGTGAAAGGGCTTGGTCTTTCACAATATAATGAACTAAGGTTTGAATTTATGCTAGAAGAAATACTCATATTTAGTACCCGATCATGACTTAAACAAAATTGTCTTTAATAAGATCCACTCGTAAGCAATAAAAAAATGAAATGAAATAAATTTGTATTTATATTGTTAATATGCACATGTAAAAAAATTCTAAAATTAAACAACTCATTGTTTATATTTTTTTATATATATGGGATAATAAATTTTAAACTACAATAGTTATTTAAAATTTAATTTATGTGACAATAACACATCTTAAAACAGAAAATTGTTGTTGATCAAAAAACAACAAATTGTTCTTTATATTTTTAATATACATGGCCAACGAATTTTAAAATAATTAATGTGGGAATAGATTAATTTGTTGTTTATTGAATCAAATAATTGTTTTTTGTTTTTTTATTACTTTAATAAGTATTCTCCTATCAAAAGCAACCATGTTTAAAGTATAATCAACTACTAAATATGGACTTACATTCTAGTAAGTATTTGAAGTTTGATTTTCCATGTTAGAAGAAATTAATTCCTTCTACTATACTCATTTCTCATTGGTTAAATAAATTGTTGTTTTATGTTTGAGTATAGATGATAACAATTTACACAATTAGGCAAGTTATGGTTTATTTTTATCTTCTAATCATTAAATACATGCCCAAAAAATAAAAATATACAATTATTTATATTTTGATTGTCATAGTTATTGAGGACAAAAATAGAGTTGTTATACCTTCATGGTTATAATGATATATTTTTAATTTGTTATAAATTTTTATTTTTTGTTCTCTCCAAATGCTACACCAGATTTTGGCAGAATGACATAAAAGTCCTAAAATAATGAATGTATGACAATTAAATTCTTGAGATTTTTTTTTTGTAAAATCAATAGTGAACATTGATTCAAATAATTGTAAATTTAAGAGTTTTAATTACAAATAAAATATTTTAATTTTAAATATAATTCTCTATTTGCAATCGAGATTCCCAATTGCAATTGTTTAAATCAATATTTATAATTTATTTAAAAAAAATTGGTGGAGACCTAATGTCATAAATTTTCTATTTTAACACTTTACAGTCATTCTCTTATCACTAAATTATTATTAGATTTCTTTTCATTTATTTGTGAGCTAAATTATCTTTTTACCTCTATATTATTTATTTATGAGCATTTGATATCTTAAACTTGCATTTGATATAATTTTTCTTTTCAACATTTGACAATAGTGCATTGAGCACTATGCAGTTAAAAAATTAACTTTGAGATTAAGTTAATTTAAAAATTATAAAACATGATCCAAAAATTTATATACAAATATCCTATAAAAGAATTAATGCCAATTAAAAAAATTAAAATATAATTTTGACCAACCATTTTAACAAGTTTGAGATATATAACAAATAAAAGTTGATGGTAACAACACCAGTAAATAATTAAAACATTATATTTATTTTAATAACATCTTATTAAAATATTAATAATTTATATAAGAAAAATATAATTTTTAGTTCTTACATTTTGCTCGTATTTTATTATAGGTTCTTGTCTTTTTTTTAATGTTTTGAGTCTCTATACTTTCATTTTTTGATGTTTTAAATTCCTAAATGAACAAAGTGTAAGGACCTTGTAAGGATCTAAAATATCAAAAAATAAAATATAAGAATCCAGAACACTGAAAAAAAATACAGAGACCTATAGCAAATCATGAGTAAAGTGTAGAGATCAAAAGTTATATTTTTTCATTTATATATTACTCCATCTGTTAAAAAATGTAAGGTATTTTTTGAGGAGTTGAATGTTAAAAAATATAAGATATTTTTAGTCTTTCGAGGTGTAATTATTATCTTTTTTCTAAAAGTATCTCTATTGAAATTGACTTTATATTTATTATAGGGTATTTAATATGGGTAAATATAAAAATATATGATTAGTTTAAAAGTATGTAATTACTTTATTGAAGTGAAATTCAGTTAAAAATACCTTACATTTTTTAATAGAGAGAGTATAATTTATATATTATTGTTATTTATAAATCTCACACACAATTTACAAGTTAACATCTGGCAACCACGAATTATCTAAAACTTTACAATTTAACTAATATTTGTTAATTAAATATGAACATATTTTTTAAACTAGCTCTAAATTTTAAGAACATAATCAAAATTAATATTTTTTTCTAGGATATTTATTTGTAATTTTATAAATTATTTTTTATAATTTATAAAGTTTTTTATAATTTTTTAAATTAATTAACTGTTAAATTTAACTTTTTTTTAACGACAATACTTGATACATCATTCCTAAATATTGAAAGAAAAACTACAAAAATTTAAAATATTAACTATTTTTAAATAAATAATTGAGAGCTAAAAATATCTTAAACCCTTAGGCCTCATTTGAAATTTTGTGACAATTATACCCTCAAAAAATTTTTATAATATCTATTTTACCCTCATAATTCATAAGCCTAAAGGCTAAAGCTAGTCAATGCCCAGACTGATTTGCCGCCGGGAGGAATAACTTGTAGGGAAGACATATGCGACGGAGGAGTTGTAACTGGCGGCCTCTGTGATCGACGAAAGTCACTTGAACAACGTGTCGATGGAAGGTAAATGTTTCTTGTTAAAGTTTTGTTCGAAATCTCATCTTTTGTTTGCCCTCTTGTTTTCAGTATCATTTACCTTTTGTATGTAATTTTGGTTAAGTTCACCTCTTTTAGGAATTGCTGATAACCATAAACTGTTTACGGAGGGACCATGCGGAATACGTTATTGTTTGGTCTTTTCATATGCAATGCAATGCAAAGAAAATAGAGTATTCTTCTTTTATTGTGTCGTTTGAATGTCCAAACACTTGATGGATCTGCATGTACTTAGGATCTAAACTGGACATGTATCCTTGTGGTTGTAGATTTGCATTTTGTTTGCAGCATCAACCACTACCTTGATTTCATCCACAAATCGGATTTAGAAGTTCTGGGATAAAATCTGAGTCTAATGTCTCTTTTTCGGATGTGCTATAAATCTGAAGTCTGTGTTGTGTTCCTTAATTTAATCTTTATTTTATTATCGTCATTAGTTATATGTTTGCATGCTATTATTCTGATTCTTATTCTGATATATTTAAATGTGATTTTAACGCCCGCATATTTGAACAGGTGAGAAACAATTGAGATTATAATAAATCCGAGAGAGTGTGCGTAAGTATTAAGTGCTCCAATATCAAACTAAACACAGTAAAACTCAGAATAGCTTTTTGCCAAGTTGATGACTTGCATAGCAGGTTAACATTACAGAGTTGTTTACAAATACATAACAGCATCTCCCTTCTGCCTGTTGTCACTCTCCATACATTAAACATTAAGCAATATAAAATGAAGAATACTCCATACATTACAAAGTTGTTTACAAATACGTAACACCACCTTTTATGATGCTTTGACAAAAAGTCCACGCCACCAAAATCAGTCTTCACATCACACATACCAATATCACAAACATGGCTATACCTAAAGCCAACGTCTTCATTGCAACTACTGTTGATTTAAATCACAACAATTTTGTGGCAAAAAAAAAAAATCACAACAATTTAGCTGAGTAAATAAATCAGATTTGGTAGCCACAGATTCAGTTTTGATGCTTGTAATTTCTGATTTGGTGGCTGTAAGCTTATCTTTGATCCTTGGTGACTCTGATTTGGTAGCCATAATACTTTGCAATTTCAGATGCACCTTGCACCGGTCTCCACACTAGAGGAACCCATCAGGTTTTGCAAATGTTAGCCCAAGCACAACCAGAACCCATACCATTTATGTCTATCTTTTTAAAACCCAAAAATTTTGAACATTATGGCAGTATGATCCAAGCATCGAATGGATTATGCATAGCAGAACCAATGAAGGGGAAGATGTTCAAAGGGCTACGGGCAGGCTGTTCTGTTATGATCACTGCTGATTTAAGTGTTGTAATATAAATAAACTATCCAAATAGTTTCATAATCACACAGGACCCAGGAATCCTTTAATCAATGACACAAGCTCGTACTCCACTACTATCTCTTTTTATTCTGTTTTTTTCCCCCTTCAAAGCAAAGCATCCACTAAGACAATAAATGAAGACCTCATTATTTATGAACTTTCCCTTCAAACAGAACAGTTTTCAAACAAACCAGTCAAGCTAAACTAATTAACTAAAAGATGAGATTTATTCCCCAAACCCAGAGATTCGAATCAGTATAATATGAGGGAGCTAGAAAAGGACTAATGATACATTTAACCTACAATGAGCAAACATCATATTACTAATATTGGAAGCTTTTTATGTCTTTTTCTGCAGCAAAAATCCTAACCAAACAAAAAGATCTTCAAATCATCATCTTTAGTCTGAGTTGTTCTTTTATCCGAGATCTTGACCTTGTTGTTAATGTGTAAATTCGTTTTAATACAAATAAGAGAAGAGAGCGGCTGCTACTGTGAGGTGAGCGTGAATGTCACAAGGTTTCTAAATCTGGGCTTTAAAGATTGTTGGCTTATCAGTAATTAGTGCAGAGTGTAGAGTGAAGAATACTCTAACCCTCAAGTTGGATGGGTAAAAAATAGTAAGGAAGGAAAATTAGAAGGAAAAACTTCTTAAAAATAGTAAAAAAAAAAAAAGGTGTTGTAGCTCTTTTATTTTTAGATTTGTGCTGTATGTGGAAGTTCTCACAATTGTACTATGCATTATATGCAGCTTATTTTCACTCCAATGACAAAGAAGAGTTCTAAAAAATCCTCAAGACAAGCACAAGAGACTACTGTTGCAGAAGAGCAAAAACCATCTCCAGCACATAAAAAACAAGGTAGTGAGATTGACGAGATATTTGCAGGGAAAAAACGGAAGAAATCTGAAGCGAAAAAAACAGAAACATCTCAATATGTAGCTAAGAAACCCAAGAAATCAAAGAAGAATGTGAGGAAGAAAAGCAAAGGGTCAGCAGGTGTTGGAGATTTTCCAGACCCACCTTCTGGACCTAGAAAAACAACAGAGGATGGGCTTGCCATCTACACTGAAGAGGAGTTGGGTATCAACAAAGCAGAAGCTGGAACTACCCCACTCTGTCCATTTGATTGCTCCTGTTGCTTCTGATGACAGCAATCATTTTTTTCCTCTGATATACATTGTAGGATCTATACACCCAGACCTTGGCAGTCTGGCACACAGCAATCAACTTTTATGCTTGAATAAAGTTTCAATGTGATTCATAGATACACTATAGTTTATTTTTTGCGATTGAAATTAGGTAGCTTATTGATTATTAGCAACCAAAAAAAAAAAAAAATATAGGTGCTTCAATCCCGCGACAGTGTGTATCTGTTGTATTTCCATATTTTGCATACTATGTCATTATACCATTCCAGTCAGTTTCATGTGCTTCTGCATCTCTTTTGTGACTGCTAACATATTTGCTTGATGAAACCACAATCTGCACTTGCCATGCTACCACCTTTCCCATTCCCCTAGCCATTGGAAACCCTAGCCCGCCGTGATAAACAATTGTCATATAGCTAAAACCCTACGTGATAAGTCATAATGGTCTTGAGAAGAGCTTTGCTCATAGCCACAAGATTCTACTGAGACCTTCACCTTACCACTCTTACTCTGCCTTGTGCCTTTGTATGCTTAGTTATTTAAATTTGAAACACCAAGCACACAAGACTTCCGCCGTACTAAAACTCAAACTTGACATCATGCATGGATTTTAGTTTTAATTAAGCTTATGATTATATTTACTTATTTATGACCGCCTAATTAATTCATTGTCACAATGAAACTTAAATTCACACACGCAACCTCAATAGCCATTATCATGAGTATGCTGACATTGCTATCATATTGGATTGCTGCCACTGTTATTTGCTTTATATAATCTTGTATAACTCTTAAACAAATGTATAATAATATGACATGATAATAGCATGTATGATTTCACTGTTATTTGTGCTATATAATCTTGTTAATTTAAAGTACAAAATTTATATAATCTTGTTAATTTATTATAATAAGTTTATTGAGAAAAAAGTAGAAAATTTAAAGACTTGTAATTTTTGTTACAGGAATAGTATATTAATATTAAATATACAAGATAAAGAAAAGTAGACAAGATTTTACCTACTCTATATGAACAAGCGAGAAATGATTGAGCACGCTAAGAAAAGAACAACTTGAAGACCTTGCTAAATCAGAGGGTGGCTATGAATTGAATGAAACCTCAGTTACAAGATCCATTGAATATAAAGAAAAACAACTGATGTGACATTAACCAAAAGAGGTTCCCAACAAGAGTACTGAACATATTAAGAGTCGAAAGATAATCAAGCTGTCCAGATCCTTGATCTCTGAGTTTCAATAAATTTCATTCACTGCATGGAAAGTTTTGGCAACTTTGGAGCCAGATGATACATTCAGCATCCGATGATAGTGACGCATATCAATGGCATTATAGAAGTAAAATCAACCGTAGGCATGCCGCATTACCATTTTTCTTCAAGAATGTCAACGGGAATAAAAACCAATAAAAAGAAAATATGAAATGAAGAAACTGCTTTCACGTCTGGTACAGAAGGATACACACTCACCTATAAGCAAGCCCGATATTTTAGTATTAGCCTGAAAATAATTTCAACACAGATATTAGTATACAGAATATTATGACAGAAGCCAATGACCTTGTAGTATAATGGCATGTAAGCTTCCTTGTAAGTGAGAGATCGCGAGTTCAATCTCACTTATAATCTCAAGCTATTAGTGTCTACCCCTCTGATTCAAAAAGAATATTATGACAGAACAGCTTACAAAACTAATCATATTTCCAATCCATGTGGCATACCTCATTGAACTCTATTGTATATCATCCACCTTAAGAATCAGGATATACAGTAGGCACAATGAAATAAATGAAGTAAATGATCAAACCTGAAAGTTCAAAATTGTCTTGGCCATAATTTGAAGATGTAGTCTACCTATACTAGATACTGTGATCGCTGAGGTAGTAGAAAAATGTGTCAGATACCTAGCTATAATTATGATTTAATATTTCTAAATTAGACAGTTTCATAATAATTAAAGCTGTAGGCTATTGACATTCCAGGCATATAGCAAGGATGATTATCTGCATTTGAGAGCCAAACTTGCTTAAGGGCTACAAGGAAATAAAGAACTTAATTTCCAAACTCTATTTCACCTTCATATAGCTTTATATACATTGATGCGTTTAATTCTTCCTCTTAACTCTTGCACATGATTTAGTGCTTTCTCCTTTCTCTTTCATCATTTCATACAGTTGTTGCACTTGCTATGGAAGAAAGGCTCAAGTCCAAGTCTAAAACAGTTTTTTGATCCATTTTCTGAGACACTAATCAATTTTGCAGGTGTCATATCCATGTAATGTAATTTCGAGAATTGTAGTCCATTTACAATATTCTGATTCTCATACGGCTTACAGCTTAGCAAAAATGGTCAATGTAAACAAGGATGATGTTCAACAGTTTGTTGGCAATTTAACATTTTAGAAAGGAAGCTTACAAGTACGCTACCTGACCATTATCCATGAAGTTCTAACAGAACACAGTGTTTCTTCAAAAAATAGCATTTTGTTTAAACATGTCCAACACGGACATAAAAAGTAAAACAACCTGTGAGCACTACAAATCCCATTATGACAACATGAATAACTAGAACCAACAACGTTGAAATGCTCGCAAGTCATCAAATGTTCAACATAAGCACATCATTTTGGTATGCCTTTTAAACCCATGGCAAACATTGACAGAAAATAGTTTCATTTTGAGGCAATTGCCTAATATTTTTAACAAAGTCACCTTTGCGCCATTGGATCCCCAACAAAAGAAGCCAATTAAATGAAAGATAAGAATAAAGAACAGGGGAGCAAATAAGAAAAAAAAAATGGGATCTAACATATAGAAGGGAAAAGTAAGCTTGAAATATATCTGTGAAGACCATTCATTATTGTGTTGATGCATTTATACACTTCAAAATGCATTTATACACTTCAAAAAGATCAAAGAGTTTCGTATCCTCGAAAATGCTGGACAGAATCTCAGAAAAGGGCATTATTTGCAATATTCAGTAACAAGCAGATTCTTGACTAAAGAACTAAGTTTAATGTTGCCGAGCCTTCTGCGATCAGCATGTAAGAGATATCCAACCTTTACTCTGCTAACATGAGATCACAAAGCACTCACGACTATTTCCACCTCTTGGTCGTATCACCTTCTAAATGAGGATTGCTCAGTGACAGTATGCCAAAACGATTCCAAAATTTTTTTAGGACATGCTATAAATGGGAATAAATACATCCAAGAACAAATGATTTGCCTAGATAGGGTGGCAAATAGAGCATTTCCAAAGAAGCAACTGATTGGCATTATGTCAAGGTACTAGTACAAGGACATACTCCGAGGCAGCTTCTGGAGTTAACGTAAATGTCATGCTTCTAGCAAGTTTTTTTATCCTATCACAAGAAGAAACCTCCTTGCTCCCTTCCATTCAAGTTATCCTTACAGGTAGCACAATGTCAGGTCCCACATCGGAGGGACTTAAGGAGGGTCTTGGCTATATAAGCACGTGTGTTACACACTCTAATGAGCTAGCTTTTTGGGGAGAGAGTAATGGCCTCGTCACAAAGTAGTGTTAGAGTCAGACCCGAATTTGCCTAGTCGGTGGGCCCCTCTGGTGGGCCACCCGTGATCGAGGCGTCACGGATTGGCTGGGGGAGTTGTCAAGTCCCACATCAGAGGGACTTAAGGAGGGCCCTGGCTATATAAGGGATGCGCTGCACACCCTAATAAGCTAGCTTCTCGGGGAGAGAGTAATGGCCCCGTGACAACAAGCTCAGCAAGGAATTTCACAGTATTATTTCCCTCACAAATTTTTACTCTTGCATTTCTCACCAAGTGCATAACGTCTTGCCAAAGCAGGATTGTAGAATTTTCTCATATGATCTGACAGCCTATGTACGAATTGGAGATCACCAATTACAGAAAGATGCATCAAAATACTACCAAACTTTCTAAATGGCAATTTTATTCCCTTGTTTACAACTTCTTCCAAGAGAAAACGTGCATCTTCCACTTTGTCGTACCAAAACAACCCATCAATCATCACAAAGTATGAGTCTGTATCTGGTGCACAACCCCTCTCGGTCATGCCAAGTCTCAAATGCCCCATCTAGATCACCCATCTTAAAAAACATTGAAGTCAGCATATTATAAGTCCGGACACTGGGAAGACAACCCAAATCAATCATGTTTCCATTAAGTCTAAGTGCTTCATCGGACTTCTTATTGTCACAAAGGACCTTAAGAAAACAATTATAAGCTACTATATCAGGTGGATAACCTTGTTTCCCATCTCCTCCAAAAATCTGTATGCTAAATCTCTTTCCAAACAAACTCATTCCTTCAATTATATCCTTGTATGTTGAGACTTCAGGGAGGCAACCACTACTAATCTTACACTCCAGAAGTTTAAAGCAATCCTCTATTCTATCATTTTGGACAAGAGCAACAATAATGATTGCATATGTCTTGGCAGCGGGAGAAGATATGGAAAAACCTTTTGTTCTCATGAACTTAAAAAGTTCTAAGGCCTCATTAGCATGCCTTCTCTGCAAAAGGTATCAATGGCAGTATTGTATGTAAAATTGTCAGGCGTATGACCAAACTGGATCATGTCTTTCAGCACTTTCATTCCTCTAGTTGGGTTTCTAACTCTGCACCACCCAAAAAACAATATGTTATATGTATCTGCATTGGGTCTAATTTTGCTTTGCACTTTCTTAAAGAGACCTTCAGCTTCCTCGACCAGGCTACATTTGCAAAGATCATCCAATAGCAGGTTAAATGCATTTATTTTGGGCTGAGCTTTTACTCTTGCCCTCTTCTTCTTTGCAAACTTTTGCACATGAGTTAGATATTTTTCAGTGTATTTTCTCAAAATAGTCAAAAAAACTTCAACCGGAATCGTGTTCTTGTTATGCCTCTTCACATAGTCCAACATATGACAAAGTATTCGAAACTGTCTTACTTTGTATCTTGTACTAGATAGTATATCTATCATATCATTATAAGCACAGAACTCATGGGAATAATTCTCTTGATGGCCAGCCCATGTGAAAAATCTAAATGCTATCTTTTCCTCAAAATGAAGCCTCTTCAGGACCCCAGTAACCAAAGGAGTTGAAAATTGTATTCCAAGTTGGTCAAGAGCTTTCTCCATATTGGTATGTCCAGTGGTTTTATCCATTATTGTGTTGTATATCTTTTCTATATTACTTCTAAGCGGTAGTCCTCAACATTACTAGCACTAGAATCAAGGCTCTGATTCGTAGGAACAGCTTCTGAACAATACAAGTGTATAGAAATACCATATGTAACAAACAAAGTCATGGGCAATGAAGATTGAATGAAGCGCACACAGGAACAGGAAGCCACTTGTACTGGTATTCGGTGATAAGTAGAGTATCTAGAGAAGTACATGGTTGGTGATTGAAGTGAAGTTACATTGTGGGATGGACCTTTACTTCTGAAAGGTATAATCGGAAGCACGTGATGAGAAAAAAATGGAATTTTAAGGAATAGATGAACCTATCAAATCTCCCCATCTTCTTGCAAGATGATATCAAAGGCACGGAACTCTTGAACGAAGAATAAAACTCAGGCAATTCAGGAATTAAAAAAATATGAGGAATTTTTGGTGGTAAAGGAAGAAGGTGGTCGAGTTTCGTGTGCTGCTCACTGCTCAGAAAGAAAAGTAGAGGAAGTAATTCACTGTAATGGACGTAGCAACTTCGAACAATCAGATTCCGAACCCAATCTACCTAGCTTTGCTTGGTTTTGGTCAGGAAGAGAAGTGATCCTGTGAAAACCAGTAAATCCGGGTTATAGGCTAGAACCAAGACATCTTAACCCGACCCGTAAAATAGGGCGACAGAGACCATCTTCCGTCTTCCCTGGCCTTGTTCGACCCGACTCAATTTGGGCCGGTATATTCGGACAGGACCGAAAGCCTAAATTTTAGAGCTTTCTATGGTTTTTACAAATTAAAAACAAATAAATTTGGAGTGAGCCCAGCAAGGAAACCTAGACCAAGAAAGCTGCTCCCACGGTCCCGCCTCAAATTTCCTTCAGGCAAACAAAACTTTAGATTTCACATTTTAGTTTCAGAAGCTGCGAAGCACGAGAGGAGCATGAAGGGAGCAGAACAGGTGCAAGAAGGGGGGAAAACCATGAATTTTCGGATTGGATCAAATAAAAAAAAAGAAAGAAAGAAAAATTAAAGTAGAAGGAAGCACACATGGAAATGGGGTCTTCAGATCGGATATTGAAGGCCATGAAGGAATGACAACCACCAGAACGACATTGAGAGGCGTGAACGGCGACAAGAACGATGCTGAAGAACGACAAGGAACTGAGGTCTGAACTCGAGGCTAAGAGGCGTGAGGCATGGGCTGAAGAGAACGAGGAGGTCACGAGGATTAGCGTGGTGGCTAGGGAGAACAGCGTCGAAGTAGGAGCCTCCTATAGAGAAGAGGATTTTTTTTCCATCCTTTTTCCCTCTTATTTTTAATTTTTTATAGAAAATAACAATTATAAACTCTTAAAATTATTAATTATAATTAAAAATTTTAAGTTATTAAAATCTCAATAATAAATCATAATTCTTATTTAAAATTAAAAAACGTAAATAGTTTAAAATATTTTTCAGAAATAATTTTAATAAATTTTTAAAAAAAGCATAACTTTAAATTTTTACATTTTATTTATTTTTTATTATAAATTTTATTTTTTTTTAAATATTTTAAATTTATATATTTTTATTTTTTAATATTATAAACCTCTTCCTGATTCTTACACTGTATTTATAAAAAAACTTAAAACATTAAAAAAAAAAATGGAACAACCCAAATCTTGAGATGGACGCATTGTGCATAGAGGATGGGAAGTGGTGAGCTCCTAAAAAGCCTCTATGCCCGGTGCACGCCATACACAACGATGACTCCATACATACAGTGAACCAGCTTAGTAGCCGAAGCTGATCCTTGCAACCCAGGAGAAGGATTTTGCTTCAACCCGCCAATCACTGCCCACATCTTACTCTATATATCGTATATTGTCATCTTACAGGCTTCAAGGGAAGTACAGACCAAAAGCGATGCTTCTGCAGCGGAGGAATTTTGGGATAAATTGGCGGTGGCTAAGCCGGACCAGCGGTTAGTTAGAAGAGAGGCATCTTAATAATAAAATGCGGATAAAGTGTGGAGACTCTTATATTTTTAAAAAATTTTAAATGATTAATATATATTTACAAGTATCTTTGAAAAATTGTAAAAGTAAATTTTAATTTTATATTAAAAAATAATCCATTCTCTATTATTGTTCTTGATTTCTCAATTGAGATTAATAATATTTTTATCTTATGATAATAATTTTATCAGTGTCATTTCTTTTTTTTTTAAGTGGAGGAAAATTTTGTAATTTTATGTATGTTTTTAATTTCAAGTAAAAACTATGGTCCATTATTGATATTTTAATAATTTAAGATTTTTAATAGTAATTAATAACCTTAGTGAGTCCTTAATTTTCAGTTTTCCATTTTTTATTAAATCAAGATTATTGTATAATCTAAATTTGATTTCTTATAAAATATTTTATTTTATTTTATTTTCCGTGTGTATTTTAATTTTTAATGTTAAATTTTAACAATTTGAATTTTATTTTTATATTATTTATTATTTAAGATTTTAGTAATAATTTTATAAAAAATTAAATCTAAATTGTTTAAATTTTGATTTGATGATTAAAAATTAAAAAGAAAGAAAGAAAGAAAGAATGAGGATGGAAGGGAAGATGGGAGAATTTTCTCCCTTTTTAATGAGGGATATGAATCCTACTAAACGTGGTCTAAAAATGAGATAATCCTCACCATGCATATTATCTAATGGTTGGAAAGAGCGGAACCTTTTAATTAAAAATACGGATCTCGTGAAGTGAAAATAGTGTAATGGTTTGAAAGTAGGGTAATTCTCATCATGTATTTTATCTAATGATTGTGAAAAGATATATTTATGAATATTGACCATATATATTTAATTTTAATAATTTAATTTAATATAATTTTTTATTTTTTATAAATTGATTATGTATGTATACTCTAAACAATCTATGTTTAATATTAATTTTTTATCATTTTTATTTTAATAAATAAAATATTAAAAATAATGATAATACCTCTAATGAGTAGGCGCAAAAGAAAGGTAAAAGCAAAAATGAGACGAAAGAAGGAGGGAGGTTTCAATTGATATTTTTAAAATCAGGATTAATATTGAATTAAAAAAGTCAGTGGTTTACGGTTCTCATGATCTAATTGGGTTGGACCAATGATCCAATCAATGATGTAATAATTAAATTAAAAAATTATATATATATATATATAAAATAATTTAAATATAAGAAATAAATATGAAATTGCTATTTGAATTAAACATAAAATTAAATATTTTAAGTTTATCATAATTTAACAAGCCACATAATATAACACAACATTAAATGATTAAAAAATTAGTCATTTCTTAAAAAAATTTTAAAAAAAGAAAAAGGGCACTTTTGAACAGTCTAGTTTTTAAAAATCAAACCTGATTCCCAACTTAATCATGATTCCCAATTCAATCATTGATCCAAAGCAGCCCAACCTGGTCCAACTTTTCAAACGATTTTTTTGACTTAACCGAGTTATTAACCCGACCATTTGACAATCCGACTGTTTAATTTGATTTAAATTTTTAATCATTGGTTTCAATTCATATTTTTTAGAGGGGTGAAAGGGTAAAATATTTTGAAATTGTTTTGAAAAAAGAACACTGATATCTTTATTTTTTTTTTAGTTGAAATAATTTTATTTGCGAATTAAAAGAATAATAATTTTGCCCACCATTAGTTCAAGCTCACGTTGACCGTTAAAAAAAAAATATATGTGGCCCCACGGGGATGACATGTCAGACCCAACTCGCACAGCTGTTAATCTTCTTATTCTCCACGTTTCTTTTTTGTTTCTCTGAATTGAATGATGCCTGAGGGAGCGATCTGGGAAGCGGAGGGAATCATGGTGGAGTCGACCTTGGATCTAAAATTCTTGACAAGAGGAACAACCGAACAAGGTCGTCGTTCTTCCGAGCTTCCTCCTTCTGCTCGATGGTGTAGGCGACCCGCCTGGAGGCTCGGAGGGAGCGAATGAGATTCTTGTAGGTGACGAAGAGGAGATTCCGCTCCTCGACGGTGAGCTTGGAGAAAGGAGTTGAAGACAGAACAACCTTCAGTATGAAAGTGACCATCTCCTCGTATCTCTTGACCTGCTCGATTAACTTAGTCAGGTACACACATTGATCTCTGGTTAGGTTTTCCGGGAGCGCAAACACCATTTTCCTGCTTGTTCGAGAGAGAAAGGATGCAAATCCGTGTGCAGAGAGAGTGGAGTGAGAATCTTTGAAGGTGTGGTTCGGGATGGGTATTGGGCATCTTCTTTATTTGATGACCTCTTTCTTCTACCTTTTAAATCCAATCCAAGGATGGTTGATTCACGAGTTCATAATTTCGATTGAATCAACGAAATTATAATTATATAAATGATAACCAAGATTCGAGAGTGTGCAACTGACTGGTAAGGTGTGGGTGCCAAAAATGCATCACCAGGATCTACCAAACAGAAAGGCAGTGACTTCTTTGTGCTCTGGTTGCTCCGCCGCTCATGACTATACGATCAAGGTCGAATGCGACTCTGTTTCCTCTTGCTCTTGCCATGAATTTAGCCACAGCATGTGCATATATTTGTTTCCTTGTTTAGTTTGCTGATAATCAGAATCGATTTGTTTCGTATTTATTTTCCTGATTAATCAAACACTGAATTGATAGGCACTCGCATTTCTGAACTCTGGCAAACCATGATAGTCCTAAAAGTTAGATATGACCTGAAATCTCGTTTTCATAAGCCTTTCGTCTATCAAAGTATGGAGAGTGTTCACCGTGTCCATCGCTGGTCACAATCTTCAACGACATTGTATATTGTGTTAACTTTAGTATCTCAATTCATACAAGTTAAATAAATTTTAAACAAAGTAATATGTATATCTAAAGAATGTATGACCGATTGTGATAACCCGATTACCTCGAGTATAGACAAATGCATAACCCACTGAACCCCATAGTTTACAGAGAATTTAAAGATAATGAAGTAAGTGAAAACTATCATGTGTTTTAGTTATTAACTCATCGGCTTATATAGACCAGATCAGTAACCGCTATAATAAATAAATAAATAAATTATATTTCATTATCTTTGACTCAGTCAGTTAAAAGATAAGAAATAACTGACAGCTATAGAGTTGTAGGTTGAGCCTCTGCCCATTAAGCTTACTTATGTAGTCCACCTATTATAGTCCACACAAAATTATAAAGATCAATTTGTTTGGCTTATTAATTAATGTAAATCCATAAATAAATATTTCAACAATCTCTCACTTGGATTGCATTAATTAAGCAAGTTGTATAAATAAGTCACAAATAAAATTTAAAAAATGAAACTTCACAAAATCACTGAATCATATGGGAAAACAAGTGATATAATGTCTCATAATCTGAATTGAACAAAATATGAATTTTTTTATTCCAAACACAGTTTAGTAAGATAACAACATAAGATCACTGATTCTTATAAGGAAACAAGTGACATGTATAGCGTACTACAATAAAATCATTGAATTCTATGGAGATACAAATGATATAGGTGCATCTAACTTAACTAAACATAAAATGGGTCTTCTAACCACAATTCAGTAAAGATATGACACAAAAATAGTAAATCCTATAAGAAAATAAGTGACATAAGGTGCATTAACACAAATCATTGAATTTTATAGGGAAATAAATGATATAAAGCATGTAACATCTCTTAACCTAGATTGAAACTCAATAGAGAAATAATATAAGATCACTGAATCTTAGGAGGAAACAAGTGATAGAAAATGCATAAACATGAATCATTAAATCTTATGAGAATATAAATGATATAGAACATTTCATTATTTCTAAAACCAAAAAATTGAGCATAATAGCAAAATGGTTCTAAAATATCAAATGTTCTTAAAAGGATACAACTCAAACTTCCACTGAACCAAAGCTATCTCAAAATATCAATAAAACCTATATGGGTAAGCCTTTAGTCATACAAATGCTTAAAAATACATTCACCATAGAAGTGAACCAGATAAGTCTAAGTGTTTATAATTTTCTCAAACAAAATCTTTGATAGAAGTTCAAGGTAGACAAAATATCGCATTCATAGTTGGAGGAAACAACAAAATACATGTCTAATAATAACAGAGAGGAGCTGTCTTGTAAAAAATGAGTATGTTATAGACACTTGTAGCTACCTCATTTTAGAATATGGAATATATAT